TATTTGTAAGGCTTTTATTAGATTACAAAGTGTATACTAATATATACATTAAAATGATTTTTTACGTGTAAAATGATAAAAGAACATTAAAATAATTTGAAATGTTTTTAAAAGAACTAAAGTAAATTTGATTACTGTGAATAAACGAATACAATTATTAATCTATACTATTAACAGAATCCTAATTAATTTGAACGCCTGTAATACTTTTTTATTTACACCTTATGTCACTGATTTTTCAAAGCAATCAATTTCTTGATTAAGGGGTTTTCGTAAATTTAATATCTAACGCTTTAGATCTACTGTTTTCTATTTTAAAAGGGGTTTGGCTTTCTAACACTAACACTATGTTACAATAGGCCCACGTTTGAACATTGTATTTGTGTGCCAATCATAATTAAGTGTGATATATTAGACCCATGGTATTTGTAGGTTTGGTCAAAATCTAACAACCACAATAACCATTATAAACCGGTTATGGTTTTACTGGCATTCTACGAAACAAACATACATATGTACATATTAATTTGTGAAAATATTTATTTTATTTTTTAATTATTATACACATACTGAGAATATTTACAGAACATGGTTTTGGAAAATATGTCAAGAAATTCTATTACTATGGTATACTCAAAAGTTTGTTAAGACTTGTTTATCAACCGATATCTTATCATATAAAGCTTGTTTTTTCAAAGTTACTAATTAACAAGATTGTGACATATGACAATTATATATTTAAGATTGCAACATATGTTAAATTATTTCATAATTAATATATATATATATATATATATACATATATGATTAGTTACATAATGACAAAAACGAATTTTGTTAAATAATAATTTAGAAATATTATGTAATAGTAATTTTCCATTTTTAAATCCCAAATAAAAGATATTTACAAAAACAGTATTTGATAATAATTTTCCTTTTAATATTATCACATGTATTAAAATATCTTATGATTACAAATATATATACGAAGATAGTAAAAAATAATTTGAAGATATTAATTTTACCAATTGTTTAAAATTAAAAAAAGTTAAACGTTTAATTGTAGTTTTCCTTTTACAAATCATAAATAAAAAGATTTAAAATCATAAAAATGAATTTTGAAAATAATAATTTTAAATATGGTTTAAAAGTGAAAAAGTAAATAGTGTTTAATTGTAGTTTTCCATTTTTACAAACCCTAAAAAACTATTCGTAAAATAATTTATTTATTACCAATTTGCATTTTCTAAAACCCTTAAAAGATTATTTGATAGTAATTTCCCTTTTAAAATTTTTATATATGTTAAAATATATCGTGATTAACAAAATATATATACGAAGATGATGAAAATGATTTTTACTACTAAAAGTAAATAAAAAAAATTAATAGAAATTTTTCTAAACCATGTTCTTTTCAAAAGTTTTGAACAAAAAACAATTTGCAAAATAATTTATTTGATACTAATTTTATTTTTCCAAAATCCTGAAGAAAACATAATTAAAAAAACTCTTTTATAGTAATTGTTCGTTTCTAAAATCTTGAACATAAGAAAATTATGAAAGAATGTTTAATAGTCGTTTTCCATTTTTCAAATCCTAAACAAAAAAATATTTATATAATAATTATTTCAAATATTATGTATGTTCTTTTCTTCTTATGCTGATGATGATTTTTAATATATATACTAGGATATTAAAACCAAAATTTGAAGATATTAATTTCAAAAAAAGTTTTAAAAGTAAAAACAAAAGAAGTTAAAGGTGTTTAATTGTAATTTTCCTTTTCACAAATCCTAAACAAAAATATTTAAAATAATAAAATGGAATTTTTAACCTATCAATTTTAAATATTTTTTAAACGTAAAAATAAAATAAAAAGTGTTTAATTGTACTTTTCCTTTTTTCAAATACTATAAAAAATATTTGTAAAATAAATTATTAATTACTAATTTGCTTTTCTAAAATGCTAAAGAAAATATTATTGTAAAAAGATTATTTGATATTAATTTTCTGTTTAATTGTTTTGTATATGTTAAAATTAATCATGATTAAGAAAATATATATACTAAGATAATGAAAGTGATTTTTAAAATATTTAGAAATTATTTAACAGCAAGTGTTCTAAACCATTTTGTTTTTAAAATATTTTAATAAAAAAGGATTTACAAAATCTTGAAGGAATGGTAATTGGAAAATATATTTGATAGTAATTATTATTTTCTAAAATCATTTAAATAAGCAAATTATAAAATAATATTTAATAGTATTTTCCCTTTTTTCAAATCATAAACAAATAATATTTGTAGAATAATTATTTCAAATATTTTTAATGTTCTTTTATGTTTAAACTGGTGATGATTTTATTGTTGTCATATTTGTCATGTTGTCGTACGTTTGTTATTGCAATACTTATACTTAGGTGTTTGTATGTAATATTTTGATATTGTATGTAAGTTAATGTGTTTATTATTCTTATGTGTGTTTGTTTTTATTGACACTATAAAATTATTTATGCTGCTATAGGTAAGTTAATGTCAATGTCAATTTTTTTTTATCTCTATGTACCATTGTGTTTATGCCTGATTGTTAAATTATTTAATTAAAAAAACTAACTGTAAAAATAGTAGTGATACGAATTGTAACCTAGTAGTTTTAAAATTATTTTATAGTATTGAAATAATTATTTGATAGTAATCTAATTTTTGGAAATTCGAAATAGAAGATAATTTTAAATGATTGTATGATAGTATGAAACTAATATTTATTTTCTAAAATATTAAACAAAAATGTAAAATAGTATATGATCTTTTTTTTTGTTTTTAAGTTATAAATAAAAGAATTTATAGAATATAATGTTTTCTTATTAAAATCATAAGAAAATGAAAGTTTAAAAAAATTATTTAATAGTAATTTAAAACATAAAAAGTTTGATGATAAACATAATATTAAAACAATTTAATTAACAAAAAAAATAAAAAATAGGAGTTTGTCGTGATTAATCTTTATATTGGTTTTTTATGTGTTTGGTCATACAAAAATCAAACACATATTTTGTATTTTTGTGTTTAGTGATAAAAATAGATTATTATTATCACCGTAAATGATATTTATATGTATTTAGTCAAAATTAAATCAAGTTTTATCGTCATCTTATTCATATATGTTTTAATATATAGTATTTCTAATTCATTTTATTAAAATATTATTATTAAAATATATCATTAAAATGAGTTGAAAAAATTATTTAATAACAGAAAACTTTAATAAAACGGTCTTATTGTTAGTTGGAAATGAGAAACAAGTTATTCGAAAATAACTATAAATTAAGTACACATAGGAAAAGTTATAAATTCAAAAACTAGAAAAAAACTAAAGAAGTTGTTTGAAATACTATAACTTAAATACTATTTTAATACTATATAAAATGCGTATAACATCTGAATTTATAATTTAGTGTTTAGGATTTAAAATTTAAGGGATGAAATAGATTTATAAAGTTATATAAAAATTTCAAATGATATATATGATATTAAATGTCATATAGTTAAAATGAAACTAGAAGAACTTCTTAATTACCTCTAAGATCATCTTCTTTAAACTTATTACAATATACTGGAGATTTTTCCCGGGCTACGCCCGGTGTTTTTCCTACATTTTTATTTTGTTTAGTTTATTATAGAGTATATTTGATTACATATTCTATACTTAGACTAAATAATTTATATAAACTATTAAAAAAATTGAAACCTTTTGTATTATGTTTGGTGACTAAACTTATAAAATTATTAAAATTTTATTTTTTTCTTTCAATATCAAAATACATATAAGTTGGTAACCAACTGAATAAAAAAATTATTTCAAATTCAATTATTCTTTTAACTTGTTTATTTGAATTTTACGATAATTTGGTTAAATTAACATATAATTCAAATATTTTTTAGCGTTAAAATCAACCAATATATATTTTTAAATTTTAATATTTATTATTTTGTGATAACAAAATCTATATGAATTCGTTCTTAAGTGTTATGGCAGTGATGAAATGAGAAGAATTGAAATTAAAGTGATGTAATTTAAAATAATCCTGAAATTATGTTAAATACTTTTGTTTCTATGCAGCAAAACAAAATATAATAATTAAAATATTCCGTAAGAGCTATTTTTATGTTCCTTAGTTTAATCACTAAATGTTCAACTAATGGTTCTAACATTACATAACTGGTTAATGTAAATTAAATAAATACTTTTGGTTCTAGCACTGTTTTATTTTTTCTTATATCTTGTTTATTTTTATTTTATAGTATGTTATATTTTAAAAATCTATTAATTATATAATATTTTATTATGGACAGATTGTTTTAGGCTTTTATATTCATTTGTGTTTATATAAATCTTTGGTTATATGGATTATATATATGCATATCAAAATTAAGGAGCAGTTAACAACCGGCAATGATCTCAACCAATGTTTAGGTAGCATCGACCGGTATGTGGACGTACTGCTGTAGCAAATGTAGCATCTATTGTATTGATAATTCATTAGACACACAAGAATTTCTCGAAATCAAACTCTAATAAGCAATCATATCAGAGGTAGTAGAGGTTAAAAAGAGCATTAAGAATCTAAGATAATAACAAACATGGAGCCATAAAAAAAGCTATATAGAGCTGCAAATATCGAAATCGCCACCTAAAATTTTTTTTCCTTTACCCGTAGAAACAGAATCAGTGGGAGGTAGTGATAGTTTACTAAACAGGAACATCAGTAAAAACAGAACCAGCCTCGTTAACATTTTAAGAGAAAAAAGAAGAAGATAAAAACATCAGAGATATCCTTGCAGCGTCCTTATATAATGCTGCCAACTTCAACTTCTTAGTCAATCATCTTCCTCCTATACAAGAAACAGAGTTAGTAGAGAGGTTTTCCTATGATAGGTGATACAAATAAGCTAAAGCAGGAACCAAATCATGACAGCAATACAGATAAACAAAAGAAGCACCTAAACAGAGCCATATACAAAGCAATTTACAAATAATGATGTTAAACAACTTAAAAGAATCAAGGAACTAACCTCATCACTCCTATTATCCGCATCCGCCTCTTCACTAACCTCAGAAACGGACTTGTCAAATTCCTCGCCCTCCTTTGGACCTTCCTTCTGAAAACACCAACAACATCAATGTCATGTCAATCAGTACCACTGTTGAATAACATAGAACATGCTCTCATGATTATAGGATTAGTGTATGTTGCATACTAACAAAAAAAAAACATACCAGCTTCTTGTTGTAGGCTTTCATGGTCTTCTCATACTCAACCTTGCGCTTATCAGCCTTAGCTACGTAAGGAGCCTTCTCCTGCAATATTTATATAACTCGAAAGGTCAATAACTACTCAAATACATTCAACTGAGGGTTAGAGTACGCACAGCGTCGGACAATGATTTCCACTTCTCTCCACCAGCTTTTCCAACCTGTTAACCATTGAAGGTCATAAGTCAGTACATAGCTTCAAAGACCCAAGGCTATGAATCAACACAACACATCAAATCCAAGGTAACGAAGATATCACTCACATCAATTATAGGTAAACTCACCTCCAACAACCTTAGGATTTATGCTAGTAATCAACACAAATTTTGGTTCAGCCTCGTAGCTTGTCATCTTCGCATGAAATGTGAAAGCTCAACCGTCAACCAGGCTAACACATACATTCACGCCCAAGTGTGAACTGCAAGTCCAAAACTATCATTCAATCACAATTGAGTTTTATCTACAGAAAATACCATCTATACATAGTGTAAGCATGAGAACTATCTCCTGCGTCATTAATGGTGCTCCTGATACCGGTTAACTCATCAAGTATATCGTGCAAGTTTACTAGTCCAATTTGGTGAATAATAAGGAAACAACTTGTTCAGCATTCAAGTATAGAAGATCGAAATCATACCTGGTAGTTGCCTATTGGTATTTTCCAGTGCCAATAGCTGGTCGTAGCTGGGGAATCAATGCTTTTCCTAGTTGGTATTGCTTATCAGAATCCCTTAGCTTTTCAAATGATGTACGGTCGTGAATAGAGACAGGGGCATCAGAGAGGCGTTAATTGTTGTTGATCCGCGTAACATCAAAACCAAGCGAGTATACATGTTGACTGTGGACAAAGACACGGTTCTTTGAATAACCATGGACTGTTTGAAAGAAATAGTAATCAAATACCAAGTAGTGACTCTTAATCTATGTAAAAATATATATAAATAAAGTTCGAGCTCTCTGGAATTACCTGCTCATTTAGGAAAAGCATATCAACACTCATAAGTTCTCAATGATCCTTACATAAAGAAAATCAACGCCATTCAAAATCAGGTACCACAAAATGCTCGGAAAAGAGATTAAGGATTCTTTCTGTTTTGTTTTGTTTTGTAATAAGATTCCCATACCTCAGGCTGTATCTTTTGCCGAATTGAAGCTGTTTAATCAAGAGCATAAGGCTTTGGAGAATGCATCCACAGACCATTGCCACAATCAAATGGCTGAGGTGACAAATAGTTCGAATGGTTAACGCTTGGAAAATGAAACCATTAGAAGAACCCGTAATATTAAGGTTGATAGAATTTTTAAATAAATAATGAACCTGAAGAAGGCAGACATGAACACATGAAAGGCATGTGTGTTCGTACGTTCCAAAACCAATCAGCCAGCCAAAGAAATTAACAGCATAGTGCATGGGAGACTTTCTGGTGGCGATGGGAGCCTTTTCTTAACCAGTGGGTTTCATCGCCATAGCTTCAACTTCTTTTCAAGGGGGTTTTCGTTTTTGATTGGATTAAATCTATGTGAAGGGTTTACAAAGAAGAAAAAACAAAGGATATTAAACGAATTCTAAAAGAGGAGATTTAAGAACACAATTGATTAATAATAGATGGGTCCCTATAAAAGAGATTTCATGAAAACGTAATAGAGAAGACGAAGTGGGAGAGACAGAGGCGTTTGATAGTAGATTCGTAAGTCTCAGAGTTATATGACGTGGCAAATTGAATATATGAGAAGAAGCCTTTTGTTTTTAATTTTCGACTAGTTATATGACGTGGCAAATTAAATCTTCTTGATTGGCTGATATTTTATGCCCAGCTGGACAGCCTCACAAGGCTTGAATTAGAGATTTTAATAGTGTGTGATAATAAAATAATCAATTTATTTATTTTAGGATTTATCATCACAAAATTATAGTTTTTGTCTTAATAATTATTATGTGTTAATAATTATTTTGATTTTGTCTTAATAATTAATTAAACTATTTTATTCTTATTTTATAGATATATAAATATAATTAATTAATTAAACACATAATAAAAATAAAAATAATTATTTTTTTTTATTCTTATTTTCAAACAGTATTTTTTTTTTCAATTAGAGCTTTTCTATTTTTTTGAAAAAAATTGAAACTTTTTTGAAATTTTATTTTTGAAATCCAAATTTTTTTTGAAACTATTTCTAAAATTTTTATTTTCGTTTTAAAATATTAGTTATTTAAAAAAATCCTAAACCCTACCCCACTAAAACCCCACCTTTCAAATCTAATTTTTTTTGTTTAAATTAATTAACCCTAAAGATAATAAGATATAAGTATTTATTTAACTCTTTAATGAAATAGTTTGGTTATTTTGATCCTTATGTGCTATATTTCTGATTAAAAAAATTTAGTGTAATCATAGGAAATTTCTCTAAGCAAAATATCTATAATGAAAAACATAAATTTTTATTACATTTATTTGTAAATAAAATAACCTTAGCAAATATATAATCACAAGATGATTAAATTTATTGATTAGAAGTTAGTCACTATAATATCTTTTAAGAAATTAATTAGAATTTTGTAAACATTAACAACCATTCGTAAAAATAATAACAATACAGAATTACGATAATATTATTAATCTGACTATAAACAAATACATTGTCCATGAAAACATTAAATTAGGCAAAAATTTAACATTAAATGAAATTTTAAAGGATAAAACATTAAGTGCTATTTTGGTCATTTTTATTCTTAAGGGTTATATTTGTGACAAAATCTTTTTTAGTGCTATTCTAGTATTTTTCTCAATTTTTAATGATCATGCGCTTTGAAAACGCGGATCAAAATCTAATTTATGTTTAAATTCGAATCCTATACTCATATTAAGGTTTCTAAAAACCAATTATGTTATTGAATTATGTTATATTTTGTCATAGGTGTTCTGTGCGAACGTAATAATTTAATTTTATAAATATATAATATCAATTTAAACACCATTAAAATAAATTACGGTTCATATATTCAAAATACTTAATAATAAATTAAAAAAATTCTACATACAAAATTTTTCGACAGAACATAATTTTTTTTATTACACAAAATAAACTTGTAAATACTCATATGTGTGAAATAGTTAGTCAAAAATTAAATAATAATTGTTTAGATATGATAAAGTTTTTTTGTATAATAAAATTATCTTTTATTCTGTAACATAAATTAAAAAAACTCATATATACATAAAATTATATATGAAATATATATGTAAAATTTATCTTTCTTTAATTTTTCTAAAAAAATATGATGTTCAATATATATTTTTAAACAGTATAATTATTTTCTGTATAAACATATTATCAAATCAAGGAAATTACTTTTAGTTTATAATTAATTATATATTAGAAAATCTAACTTTTAGATAAGGATAATAATCAGATATCTGAATTTCGTTTTTAGTTTATGGTAATTATATTAAAATTTTTAATTATTCATTAAAGCCAATAAATACATTAATCGCTCTAAATTTGAACATTAGACAAATCTTTTCAGTATAATAAAATTATTTATTATTGCGTAAAATTAATTAAAATACTCATGTATACATAAAATTATATATAAAATATATATGTAGTGATTTATCTCTCTTTATTTTTTTAATAACATTAAGATGTAAAACATTTTTTCCAAAGCAATATATTTAAAAAAAAAAGATAACTATCAAATCAATGAATTCGTTTTCAATTTATAATTAATTAAATGCTAACAAATCTAATTATTTTTAAGATTAATAAAGATCTTATAACACAATTAAAAATACTTATTGGTAAGGATAATTATTAAATTACTGAAATTGTTTTTAATTTATGGTTAATTATAGGGGACATTTCAATTCTACCACATGTTTGGTATTACTTTTTAAATTTACAGTTAAAGAATGAATATTTTCACAAATACACTAAGCTAATTCTTAAATATTTATAAACGCAACCCCTACCCCTTAATACCAAACCCTAAAAAATAATCACTAAAAGCATAAACCCCAATGTTAGTATATTTTGTAAATTGTGGTATTTTTGAAAAGTGATACTTAATTTGTTGTATTTCTAACAATTTCTCTTAATTAATTATATATTAACAAATTAATAATTTTATAAATATATAAGATCAATTCAAAATATTATCGTAATCTGTCTATATTATTATTTGTGAAAAATGAATTTCCTGATTTGTCATTTTCTCTAAAGTTTTAGTTTGCCTAGTTGTCATGTTCTTATGATCTTGACTAATGATTAATTACTATCTTTAATAAGAAAATTAGACTTCTTAAATTATATAATTAACCATAAATTAAATACAAATTAATATATAATGAACCATAAATTATAAACAAATTTCCTTGATTTGATGATTATTATTAACTAAAAATAGTTTATATTAGTTAACCAAAAACTAAAACTGAATTAGTATAATAATTAACCATAAATTAATCCTTATCTAAAATAATTTATATCTGGGAAATTTCCTAAAATATCACATTCTTAATACTACTTTTCATGTTTATCTAAACCGTTTTTACGCTCACTTTAAAAGAAATAAAATGACACTTATTATCTAAACGTTAACTAATCTAGATTTAGAGTTTAGAATTAAGGGGTGGAGTAAGATTTTGGAATGTGAAATTTAAGATTCAAATAAATATATAAATAAATACTTCAAGCAGTTTGTAAATTCATAAATATAGTTTCAAAACGAAATTATGAATTAAAAAAAAAGAAAAAAAAATATAAAATTCAAAAAAGTATAAAAAGTTCGAGTTTGAAATGGTAATTCGAAAACTATAAAAATTACTTATTTTACTATTTTTATTTTAATATATTTAAATAATTATTTATTATATATATAAAGCAAGGGTATACAAATCTTTTACCTTGGGTTTATTGTGATTTAAATAAATTACTAGATTCTAACCCGCACACCTGTGTGGATGTTTTAAAAAACTGTATTATTAAAAAAATTTCACATATGATTAATTGTATAAATTTTGATGCTTACGATATTTATATATTTAATATGTTTTTATAGTCTATATGCATCAATTTCATTAATTGTTTTAAATTGTCATATATATATACAACTATATATATATATATTTATGTATCTTTATGGGTTAGAATTTAAATGTATATATAGAAATGAAGGTGAATTATAATTTATTTTTTATTTATATATTATTTATTTTATTATAATAATCTATTATCTATGTTGACTATATCTTTTTAGTTCTTGATAATAAATAAATAGGTATTAGATGATATTTTTATTATTAATTTATACACATTTATTATACATATTTCTAAATGTAAGGAATATA